ATATCTTGGTGTCATTAATTTCTCAGTCAAATCTTTGCCAGCATTCTATCTCCACCATTTATAATGAAATTAACTCATTTGTAAGGGAATTAATTATTATTACACTTAGTTAAAAGACACAGAATTCCTGCTCCTTCATTTTGCTTAATTTTCCTGAAATTACTTTTCCTCAGCAAGAATGCATATAATTACTCAAAAGTGACAATAAAAACATCTATAATGTTACAAAATATTTCTATTTAAAATAAATAGAACAATTAAATATACTGTAACTTTCCAACTTTCTATTTATCAAATAATCTCATTACAACTGTTTTCAAGGCTAATAATAAGAAGAAATGTTTCTTAAACACTAAATCAGCATATTAGAATGATCTCTGGAGGATTGGAGTAACGGCTGCTGACAATTCAGCCTAGAATAAATTACATTTTAAAAAATAATGAAAAAAATAAACAAATAATTTAACTGTAATTATATTTTACAGTACTTCTGATCAAATAAATGCAGCCTTGGTGAGCATGAGAAACTTTTTAAAAACAAGAAAAACCCTTACCAACCCCAAACTTTAGAACTTTAATGTAAATGAATTTAATGTTAATGTGTTTAACTGCACAATGCAAACAAAAGACAGAGAGAAAAATATATAAATATATATGCACAATATATTAGATTTTTTTTGGTCACACTTTATTTTAAGGTCCAATTCTCGCTATTAACAAACCATTATACTTTTGCCTTGGTAAACTCCTAATTTGCTGCTTATTAATAGTCAGTAAGGTAGCTGTTAAGTTTATGTATCGGGATTAGAAATGCAGAATATGGTCATGTAGAATAAGTGCTTTATAAGTACTAATAAACAGCCAATATGTTAATAATAGGCATGCAAATAAACAACTAATTAATAGTGAGAATTGGTCCCTATACTAAAGTGTTATCGATTTTTTAATCTTGATCAAAATATCACCAGGCTTTTGCTGATTCCCAGGCATAAACATTATCTAGTATATGTGAACTGATTCTTAAATTCCTCAACCTAGAATGTAAATTAACACTATGAAACAGTCAATTTATTACACACACCAGAAAATTCGAAGACAATGCATTTAATTGTTCTTCTCAAAATTATGACTCATTTAAAACAATGGTTTTACATAAGAGAACACATGGGTTAAGAAAGGCTTTGAGTGCTCACCTGCTTTACACTCGCATGCAGCATACAGGTAGTTGTTGGTGCGCAGGAGTTTGCACTGGCCATAGGTGCCACAGTCATTGATGCAGGGGGTCAGGTAAGAGCGAAGATACACCTCAGCTGTCACATTATTACACATTTCAAACCTATACAAGAACATGGAGATGATAAGAAAGAAGTGAAAAGTGGAATTTTAGGAAATTATGCTTTTAGGAAAACTACCGAGAATGAACAGTGTGAAATTTCTTTGAACATTCTGTGAATTCTAAGAATTCTAAGAATACATGCAGTTACAATAAATGGGGATTGAAGCTTTTAGGGTTGCAAAAGCTTTCAAGCTTTGTGTGAGCAACAGCCCAAAATTAGAGATGTTATCTTGTGTGTTTCTGACACACAGCTACAGTATGGCTTCACAAGAATTATAGTTCACAAGTCGCACAGATAATTTTTTATGATATTTTTATTGTTTTTTTGTATTCTTTTCTTGAGGTTGAACTCCTCAGTCCCATTCATTGTACTTTCATAGAAAATACAAAGCAGCACAGTCTTGTAAATAACTAATTTTGTGTTCAGTGGAAGAGAGAAAAAGTCACACAAACAACATGAGGGTGAGTAAATGATAACAGAACCTTCATTCGGGTGAACTATTCCTTTAAGATAATATGGGATGTAAATATGTGAAAGTTACAGTAAAACTGTTTCAAAATGATCTCACATTCAAAGGCAAGCAGATATGCTATAATCTCTATGGTAGTGTGAAAATACATACTGTACAGCCTGTTTGTGCAATTTTAAAAGATATCAAATTAACATGAACTCTCACTGTCAGAATTCATTGTCATTTTGAATCAGATAAAGTAAGGTTATGAGAGTCTAGGTCAACATAAAAGTGTATTTAGGAATTGTTTCACAAGTACTGTATTTCAGAGCAGCAAATAGGAAACATCCCACAGTTCACATGCTGCTACTACTGCACTTGCTAAATGTTGAAGAAGGTAAATATATGGAGCGCTAGGAATATTTTCCATCCTTTTCTCAGCAACTGCAGTCTGATAATTTAGTGCAGAAACACAAACAGAAAGAAATGCAAATGTGTTCACCCGTGTTCAGTGGCACACAGGGACCGCAGGCTCAGATACCACGTGCCCGTCTGTGGGTAGGGAATCCTCAGCTTGGTGATATTTGTGGTGGTGTTAATGGAGAGATGAAATCCTGAAACTGACTCTGATAAAGAAAGAGCACAAATGGGTAAAGGACAAGAAAACCTAGTGCCACCATTTGCTGTGACTGAACTGAGCGTTCTAAAGAAAATCATCTGAGTGATGTGCTCAACCATAAAATGGACCATAAAAGAAAATTCATGTGGTAGAAGCAAGTTTACCACATCTCACCTGCAACCATGAGATGCTATTTATGTTGCATTTGCATAGAAATGGCGACATATTTCTTTGTTTCAACTGAATTGTTTCCAAAAAAGGCACTTCATTGTTTTTATTGCCATGATTTTGGATCAGTGCCCTAGGGAACTTGAGTTGTCTTCATGAACATTACAGCAAAGGGCAATGGCCCAAAGCAATTTAAAAGACAATCAGAAATAAATGTAAACATTGTCTGTCCACTGCAAAAACATATGGTAACAGTTTTTCAATCAAACACATGACACTAAAATAGTGTCATGAACATTAACAAAACAACATAAAATTTAACATAAAACACACTATGGTACATAATTAATAACAAACATATAAAAAACTACTTTAATAGAATAGAATCAAATTTGATGTATTCACAATATTTTTTTCACTATAAATTATAAGGTAAAAAAAATAATAAGAGGTACTGTAAGTAGATATGTTTTACTTATAATATAATGTAATGTAATGTAGTATAATATATCAATATCAATATATTTATTAATTTAATAATTTTTCACTGTATACTATATGGTAAGATAACTTGCAATTAGCCTATTACTATTATTTATTTTTTTAATAGTAAAATTTTTTGTTTTTTTTGCTATTTTATTTTAGCGTTCCTTTTTTATTATTAAAATTGCAAACAATATTACAAAATGTGATGGTGAAGATACTATACAAACTGCATATGGCCTAAAGAGATTCATCTTAGACTAAATCATAGACTGTCCTACCAGATTCACATGAGACTGACGTGTTGTCGTGAGGGGACAGCGGCATCCCATGATTCAGGCAGCCAAAGATCGTAATATTCTCTCCTCTCACTGAAGACTGGAGGGGAAAAAAAAGACAAAATAGGTTTGAATCCTGTTAAAGATAAGTGAACATCAAAGTAAATTATCAAGTTCAGCAGGTCAAAGCAGAGGGTTTGGCAGGCAAAGGAGAAGGCTGTGATATAACTGTTCGAGATGTGATAATTTCATAGGAATATCAAAGGAAAAGAGGTTCTTTGTAGCTGAGCGAAAGGCCAATCATCTCCCACTGCAAGCCCCCTATCCTCAGACGTCTGAAAATAAAGATGTTCGCCCTTGCCTTTCACCCCATTCGTAAATAATACAGAGAGGCCTGATGAATAAGCAAATCCAGGACATGAGGCAAATTAGTGATCTCTCTCACATGCACAAATTGTGGGGGAGAGAGAGAGAACAGAAAAATAACACTTTGAAGCAAAGTATCATGTTCTTTGACTAATCAGAGTTATTCATGACATTTTATGACAGCAAGTATTCGGACAGGCATGATATAGGTTAATAATTCAATGACATGTCATGTTCTATGTGCCATCTCAACCCCAAATAAACCACATGCATGCCCTCTGAGGGCTCCAAAAAGTGAACCTTTAATCTCTAATCTGGACCTCAAGAAATAATAGTGCTCAAGAGTCTGAACTTTTAAAATGCATTAAGGAGTGATCCTAATTATATAGCAAGTGCAATGTAACAGCTGTGTTCATATTTAAAGGTGAAGTGTATCATTTCAGAGTTCACCAAACAGAACTGAACTTGTAGAAACAGGCAGGTGGTATTAATTTATTTATTTATGTAGTTTGAGTGACAAATGATGCTCAAGCGTAGTTCAGGCAGACCACAGTCTGACAGCCAGCATCAGCTGATGCTCAGCTGATTGTAACTCCTCCCACTACAATTAAATAAGACTCATCCGTACTCACACTTGCCTTAATCTGTCTCCTCATGCTCAATAAACCACTATTTCACAAATTAAGCCTGGTGAATCTTGGCATTGTCATCCTGGAATATGTACATGGGTGCATCTTCTGTCATGGTTGTTTTTTTAAAGGGGTCATATGATCCTTTTTTAAAGATCATTATTTTGTGTATTTGGTGTAACAGAATATGTTGACATGCTTTAATGTTCAAAAAACACATTATTTTTCAAATACTGTACATTATTGTAGGTCTGTGGGCGAGATGCAGTAGTGGGGGTCGGTGATGGTGTGGGCCTCCGGAGCAGACCGAGATCCCGCAGCTCTTCGGCGTGCGCAGAGTTTAACTCTAAAAATGTGGTTCTGCCGACATCGAGCAAAAACTCACGACTGTATGCGCGCTTAGAGACAGATAGACGCGACGAATACGTACAAAACCACTGCGACTCACAAGACAAAAAAAACACGAAAACACCTTTCTGTCGGGAGAGAGATAAGCCGCAGTGTGTGAACGCGCCGCCGTCTTGATTCAGGGATCTTATCTATGCACAATCAGCTTGTAACACTCCAAAGAGAAAGGAAAAGTTGAAATCGCATCATATGACCCCTTTAAGTAAAAATCTACGCACTGCATCAGTTAGAGTTAAAACAATTGTTGCAAAACATACAACGTGCCAGAAACATGTTAATAATCCAATCCTAAACTCTTCAGTATTTGCTTATTTAAATCTAAATGGCAACTTTTTTTGGCCAGGCAGTGTATATACAGTACTACAGTACAGTATATATAAACAAACATTATTTATACATATTATAATATAATAAATTCATACAAAATAACCATACCCTGAGAATTTCTGTTTTACCCTGAGAATTTATTCACATTTGTAATATCTAGTCTGTCTGTTTTAGCAAGCTTTAGTCATCCATCACTGTAAATCTATAGCACTGTCTCTTCCTGTATAAGACCTGACAGCTGTAGAAAATAGACAATAAAGAAGAAGAGCCACTGTCTGTGACATAGGATTGTCTGTCATGTAATCTAAATGAACCAAGAGAATCTCAACCACAGGCTTTTATCGAGCCAGTGTTTTTAGTAATCAGTACAACAGCGACTGAAATTTCCAGTGTTTTTAGTAATCAGTACAACAGCAACTGAAATTTCCTGGCTTCTCTTTTGCTCGATATTCAGCGTGGAGTGCTTTAATGTCAATGCTGTGCCAAGCACCTGTGTTGAGCTGGCCTCAGACCAGACCCAAATCAGGGATGTACGTTTTTAACAATGATGGATGACCAGCTGGGTTCACTCAGGTCAGCTCTTGGCTGTCATTTAAGATGGTTTAAAAATGATCAGCCCACAAATGTTTCCTCCATGCATTTCAAAACTGTAGTGACCACAAAATGGTTGACACGTCTGCTGTCAAATGTAAAAGCCGCATCAACCGCAGTATTGGCATTCATTAGATAGGGCAACACCTGATGAGTGGAAAGAATTGATTGCAACAGTAGGAGAAGCAATGATGAGCAGTATTTGCTGTTAAGAATGAATATTATGCCAATAACTGGGATAGAATACATTTTTTAAATTCATTAGAATGTTTGTGGCCTTTTGGAAGCATACTTGGCAAAGGGAGCAATGAAAGACAACTTCACTTCCTTTTTATCTTGACCCAGAATGCAAGCTGACTACGTAAGTTGTAATGAAACGGAAATAGCGACAAATCTTTTGTTTTGTGTTATGACGTTTATGCAAGTGAAACGGATAATCAAAAAAGAAGGATTTTCTTTCTCCTGAAAATGTTAATTAATGTTATCGCAATGGACTAAGATTTACTGACTTCGTTCACACAGGGTATAATTACTTCCCCTGTAAAAATGTATCATTTTTGTAATTAAAAAAAAAATGTATTCGACCTTGTTATACTTGTGGTGTTCCCGGTCAAAAATAACCGGCCTACAGAAAATAGCTTATAAATCTCATGTTGTGCTATATTATCACCAGATATGGGATTTAATCTTTTTGCCAACTTGTTTTCTTTCAAATAGGACTGGTTTTGTATTTATTTTTGGAACTTACTGATCATAGGCATCATTAATCTAAGCTTACGTACCTCAGTTTTTGAGTGAAAAAAGCATTAATTGTGGATAATTTTGTCAATATTAAATAAATCATGAAAAAAGTTGCACTGATAGTATTAGAGTTGCACTCTAATTCATTAGAGGCCTACATATTAAGCTCAGATTAATGAGGCCTACAACCAATATAACCAACAAATAAATACAAAATCAGTCCTATCTGAAAGAAAACAAGTTCACAAAAGATGGAAACCAAAATTTGGTGATAATATAGCATAGCAAGCGATTTACAAGCAATTTTAAAAGGATGATCATTGGCACCAAGTGTTATAGGGATTTGAACAAAACACAAGGGTTAAAAAGGCTTGATTTATACAGTAACGAAACACTACTAATGCATTTTGCTAGTAGACATGCAACAGCTATGCTGTGACTTTGTTTGGGACTATTTTCATTGGCAGAACAAAAACAGACACAGTAACTGGCAATATTGGGTCTAAAATGTAAGTTACTCGATATTTAATTTCCTGTTTATTGAACTGCTGTATAAAGACAGTATCACACTCACAATTGCGTTGTTTTCAGAACTCTTGTGATAATGCTTAATTATCAATAAAACTATGCAAAGCATCAATATAAACATAAAATTAAGTAGCACATTTTATTTAATTGACTATGCTTAAACACTGGCCAAACTGAAAGCATTTTATGCTGCCAGAGTAAAAGAGCTGAATTACATCTAATTTAGGGAAGCACAGAGAGCTTAATAAATTGAAGAACAAGGAAGGAAGAATGACACCCAGATGGGAGGAAAATCGAGGTTAATCAGATAAAAAACACTCTGTGTCTCTGCTCTCCTTTAAAGCTGATGGGGTCCAGTTATTTAGATCGGTTTCAGATCTTTTCATGTGACAGTACTCTGAACTTTTTTTAACTTTTCATCTTTAGTCAATGGAGTATAAGAAGAAAAAAGTATTTTAACTGCAAAGTCTTTCAACTGCAGTGCCATTAGAATCAGGCTGGCTTCCCAAAGCACTAAGAAAGATGTTAGTTGCACATAAGTACTTAATCTCTATGGCAAATATCCCAATAGCATTGTTATCTAAGCAGTGCGAGGAAATGTAAATTGATAAGAGCCTCTGACTACTCGTAACCCATTACATGAACTTGGAACTTTTCCACTTACTTTTGCAGTTTATAAGGGAAAAGGGACACATAATAAACACTACTAATGCATCTTTATTATTGCAAAGCTGTTGTACAATATAATCAAGAATTTAAAAAAAAGTGTTTGTTAAAAAATGATAGGTTTTGAAATATGATAGTCCTGTTTACTAATTACAAATATGTTATTCTGTTTATCCTGCCAAGGCTGACATTTTTTGTTTGTCAGGCTTTGTTTTAAAAGGTCTTTTGAGGGACCTGGTACATTCGCAGGCTGCCTTCAGACTTGAAGTACATAATTACCTCGGGAGCAACGAGCACTTGGTTCCAGCAGAAATCACTTAAGACCTAACGGCAAGCCTGAGTCTGACTTGACCTCAAACTGTCCATGAGAGCCACTCAGAGCAGCTGAAGGGGGGAACAATTCCACACACACCCTCACAGATACACAGACTCACCTTCATGAAGGGTGGGCTTCCTCACACACAAACATACACACTATTCATCTGGCCTGTACTGCAGCTCATTAGCCCAACACACTGGCTCAGCGCTCACCTCTTGGCTTTCTGTCAGCCGTACATGTCTGCTTGAGGACAAACTCATGAGCTGAAGGGACTCTGTGTATGTGTATGTCAGAAAAACTGCCAAAGCGGTGGGCTAAACCAATAACAATTAAGCAGGTCCAAAAATTCAGAGAGGTTAAAAAAAGATATTTCTGCTAATTATCATTCAAAAGTATGGGTTCAGTAAGTCAGTAATTGAACAAAAGAGACAGTCTTTCAAAAAAAAGACACACACACACACACACACACACACACACACACACACACACACACACACACACACACACACACTTCTCCTGTCCTTT